AGAAGCGGCTTTAGATTCCCAGTGCAGTGCTTTAACCCGCTGCGCCACCAGGAGGGTCCCGAGACGCTATCATTTAAGTCTATTCTCAAGAATACTTTAGCTACCAATTTTTCATAAAAACATACCATTGTAGAGTTTTTTTTATTCTTTCTGTAATGTGTTAGATTGACATATATTCACATTTATTATATAAGGGTTTGTCCTTCATTTGGTGGAATTACATGGTTAAATATTGATTTGGAGTTTACTTGGAATTTTTTGTAAACACAGGATGCTGCTGTAGCTTCATGAAGATGTGAATTAATCAACAAGTAAGCACTATCCACATGGAAAAGTATATATATATTTAAAATTCTACTGAATTTTAAAAAGCATTCTTTTACAAGAAAAGTTACAGTATTTGATACATTGTGTGTGAGTGTATGTACATATGCAGTTGCCTCTAGAGAACACCTATAGCAGAGATAATACCACCAAGATCCCTCTCAGGTTTTCGAGCTTAAGGTTAACATGTATATTCCGGATCATCCTTAAACAGCTCACTGTTTTCATTTACACATCCCCTGTTGTCATTCCATTTAGTCTCTTGAAAGCTTAACAGTCTTGTTCTAGAAAACTGACAAATTGAGATGAGCTTAGGTGTCACAAAATGCCGTGGTCAGACCTGCTCTTTGGTATGTCTGAGTATATTGAAAAGATGCCTGCTCTGGGGACTACAGTTATTTCTGGGGTACAACAGCAGGGGGGAAAAGTTCTGCCTTATGCAGTAGACTGATAGAAAACTATTTTTTTTTTAAAGATTTATTTATTTGTGCATACGGAACTGGAGTACAGGCCAGAGGCTCAGAGGTGGTGAGAGGCTTCACCATAGACAGAGCGGGGTGCAGAACAGGCAGATCAACGAAGTACACTGCTGAGGGGAGCAGCGGGTGGGTCAGGAGAGGTCTTCCGCGCCATGTCACCTCCAGGGCAGGAGGGGATCAAACTCATGCTGAAGTGGCTTTAGCTTCTTAGTGCTGTGTTTTAACCTGCTGCGCCACCAGAGAGGGCCCCAGAAAACTATTTTCTATATAAATAAAATATAAGTATAGTTTTTACATTGTTCTTCATTTTGTACATTTTTTCATCTCAGTTGTAACCCCCATGGGCTTCCCATCACCAGTTCATCAGTGTGCCATCACCACAGAACTCTTCCCACCCCAGTTCCAATCCCATTCCCCCTTTCATCCCCATAAAAAGTCTCTGGGTTAAAGCTGTTCATTGTTTTCATTTTCACTCTATTACATTTCTCTTTTTCTTTTTCCCCCTGACCCCTTACACTCCTGCTATGAGTGAAACCATCGGTGTTTTTCTTTTTCCTTTCTGGCTTATTTCACTAAATATGATCGCTTCCAGCTCCATACATGTTGCTGCAAAAGGCATGAGTTTATCTTTTTTGGTTGCTGAGTAATGTTCCATTGTGGATATGTACCACCTCTTTTTAATCTCATCTTCCAGTTTTTGGGCCTTTGGGTTGATTCCACATCTTCCCTATTGTCAGTAGAGCTGCAATAAAAATGGGCAGAAGAGCTATACACTTCTCCAAGAAGAAATTCAGCTGGCCAGCAAGCATATGAAAAAATGTTCAACAATACTTGTAATAAGGGAGATGAAAATTAAAACCACAATGAGATAACACCTCACACCAGTGGGGCACATCTTAAAACAAATAGCAACAAATGTTGGCGAGAATGTGGAGAAAAATCAACTCTCTTACACTGCTGGTCGGAATGCAGACTAGCACAACCACATGGAAGGCTGTGTGAAGGTTTCTCAAAAGGCTGACAATAGAGCTTCCATATGACCGACCCAGCAATCCCACTCCTGGGTGTATACCCAAAGGACACAAAAACATTGACTCAAAAGAACGCCTGAACCCCCATGTTTGTTGTGACAGTAAACTTAAATGTTTAATGAAATCTGAAGTAGTGATCGATCAATGTCATGAAGAAAAATGAAGCTATGTCAGAGAGGAAGAGAGAGCAAACAAACATATAAACAGGGTTGCCAGGAAGGGTGCTCTGGGAGCTCGATGACATAGTTAATATGTGCAGCACTGTTTTGGGTACAAATGGACCAACAGAACACAGACCAAAAAATATCTGTAATTTACAAAGCTGAAAAGATGAAGTTACAAGTTAGAGAGGACAAGTTATCTCAGCAAATTAGGGTTAGATAGCCTGTGACCTAATTAAAATTATGCAAAACTGCACGTATGCTTCTGATTTTGAAAAAACAGTCCTTAGTTTTTATTAGATTCCCAAAAGTATCTTAATGATTAACCCAGAAAAGATTGAAAATAGTTATAAATGATTGCTCATTTCCTTCTGGATTTTTTATACTAAAACGAAGTTCAGGTAGAAAAATTGCAGAAACATTGACAGTCTTTGATAAACTTTTAGAATGGGAGACTGAGGGCCTCTGCAAGTCAACTTCTCCATAAGGGCAATGAACAGACTAGCAAAATAGCCAAAGTCAACTTTTTCCAGCACTCTCAATACTTACCAAAGGCTTTATCCCAAGGAACCTTTATTCAAGAGTAATCATGCAGATTCAGTTAGAGCTGCAAGTCTGGTAGAACATTAACTGCTTCATTCCCATCCCCTTCTCTGCAGCACCACCATAGCTCTAAAAACACACAGCCTCAGAACCAGGCAACTGTGAAAAGTAGCCACGTGGCAGCCTGGGAGAGCAGGCCAGCTTCAGAGCACCAAGGAAAGCCCTCTTCATATATGTACTCCAACTTTGGCCTGGGTGGCAGTTCATTGGAAAGTCTCCATTTGCGGAGCTTGACTTCTGATCTGACTTACAGTCCAGTCAGTGAGAAAAGCCCTGTTCCCAAGATATTTGTAAGAAACCGTAGTGGTAACAGTCTAACCTTTCATTTGCCAGGAACATAAATACCAGTTGGGACAACAAGGAGACAGGCCAAAACCTAACAAGACATCTGGCTCTGAAAAGCTCTCACTTTCAAAATACTCCTGGAGTTGCTGAAGATCACACCTGCACATGCCCTGTAAAGACTTAGAAGGTCTCCGAGGCCTTCCTCCCTCACCTTTGGCAGTTGTCCTCTGCTGTTTCTAGGCAAAAAAAGTTGAGCTGTGTACACTGTCAGCATTGGTGTACCCAACAAGCCTCCACAAAGGCTGCAACACTCACTGGCTAAAGGTGGTTAAGGAAACAGTCCAGTCATGAGCTGACCACTGAGTTAACCTAGCAGAGACCTCAGTGGCTGCCCATGACAAATACAAAGATGGATTAGTCCAGAAAAGTTTCCCAACAAAGAAAGAATAGTAAGAATTCCTGGGGAAGAAGGAGGAGAATTGATTACTCTAGAGTGGCTACTATGCCACATCATTTAAAATGCCCAGTTTCTACCAACAGTAAAAATTATAAACCAGAAGGTATGTTCATATGCAGGCAAAACAAAAGTAGTCAGTAGAAACTGTTGGATTTAACTGGCAAAAACTTTAATCTGCTACCATAGATAGAAGAACAGAGAGAGACCATTTCTCAAGATGTACAAACCTTTGTGATATAAGGTGTGTGTGCTGTTCAGAAACTAGCAGTTGAAATGCCTGAGGAGCTACTGTAACCATCCTAGCCTCACTGCCCTCAGGGCTGCGGGTACCAGGTACACATGGGCTTCCCTCCCTGCTGTACAGGAGGAAAAGGCCCTCTGATCTCATAGTTATACTTCTCCAATAGCGCATGTCTGATTCAAGTGTCTCAATCATACTTATTTTCTTGGGAGGCAATAGTAAAATGTCCAATATTATGGAGAGGCCCTGGGGTGGTCATTTTCCCATGTCTTCTGTAACACACAGCCATCAACACAAATTTTCAGTCTATATAATGTATCAGTTCTTTTAT